AATCCCAGCTACTTGGAAAGCTGAGGCAGGAGAATCACTTGAACCAGGGAGTTGGAGGTTGCAGTGAGCCAAGATGGTGCCACTGCACTCCAGCCTGGCAACAGAGCTATCCCTCCATCTAAAAAAAAAAAAAAAAAAAAAGATACAGAACTATTCCATCACCCCATCACCCTAGGGCTCCCTCTTGCTATTCTTTTATTTATTTTTAAAATGGAGACAGAGCCTCACTATGTTGCCCAGGCTGGAGTGCAGGGGCTCCATCATGGCTCACTGCAGCCTGACCTCCTGGGCTCAAGTAATCCTCCCACCTCAGCCTCCTGAGTAGCTGGGACTACAGGCATGCGCCAACACACATGGCTAATGTTTGTATCTTTTTTGTAGAGATGGGATTTCACCATGTTGCCCAGGCTGGGCTTGAACTTCTGGGCTCACGTGATCTGCCTGTCTCGGGTGTTAGGATTACAGATGTGAACCACTGTGCCTGGCCTGCTATTCTTTTATGATCATCATGTGTAGCTTTTCTTTTCCTCTTAACAGGGTCTTTAGCTGAGCAAGTGTTTTTTTTATTTTTATTTTTATTTTGAGGAGGTCAATTTATCCATTTTTCCTTTTATAGATTGTGCTTTTGGTGTCAAGTCTAAAATCTCTTTACCTAGCTCTAGGTCCTGAATGTTTTTTCCTATGTTTATTTTTCTAAAAGTTTTTTAGTCTTATGTTTTACATTTAAGTCTATGACTAATTTTGTGTCAATTTTTGTATAAGGTGTATATAAAGCACCATTTATGGTAAGCTTATTGATATGGTTTGGCTCTGTGTCCCCACGCAAATCTCATCTTGAGTTGTAGTTCCCATAATCCCTACGTGCTGTGGGAGGGACCCAGTGTGAGGTAATTGAATCATGGAGGTGGTTTCCTCCCATGCTGTTCTCATAATATTGAGTGAGTTCTCATGAGATCTCATGGTTTTATAAGAGGCATTCTCCTTTGCCTGGCACTCACTCTGTCTCCTGCTGCCCTGTGAAGAGGTGCCCTCTGCTATAATTGTAAGTTTCCTGAGGCCTCCCTAGCCATAAGTAACTGTGAGTTAATTAAACCTCTTTTCTTTATAAATTACCCAGTCTTGGATATTTTCACCATGTTGCCCAGGCTGTTCTTGAACTCCTGGGCTCACGTGATCTGCTGTTTCTTCATAGCAGTGTGAGAACAGACTAATACAGTTATCCTTCCTCCACTGAAATGCTTCTGCATCTTTGTAAAAATCAGTTGCCCCTGCTTGCGTGGGTCTATTTCTTATTCTCTACTCTTCTCCATTGATCACTGTGTCTATCCCTTTGCCAGTACCAAACGGTCTTAATTACTGCACTATTAGTAAGTCATTATGTCATGCAGAGTGGTTCCTCCCACTTCATTTATTTTTTCCAGAATTGTGTTAGCGATTTTAAGTCTTTTGCCCTTCCATAAAATTTAAAATAAGCTTTTTTACAAAAACCTTCCTGGGATTTTCAGAAGAATTGAGTTAATCCTATGGATCCATTTGGGGGAAAAAAATCTACATCTTTATGCTAAGTCTTTCAATCCATGAACATAGTATAGTGTTTCTTTTATTTAGGGTCTCTTTGATTCTTTTCATCAACATTTTGTAGCTTTTAGCATACAGATCCCATACATGTTTTGTTACATTTATACCTAAGTACTTCATTTTTTTGGGACAGACTGTAAACAGTATTATTTTTTTTTCTTTTTCTTTTTTTTTTTTTGAGATGGAGTCTCACTGTGTCACCCAGGCTGTAGTGCAGTGGCACAATCTCAGCTCCTGCAACCTCTACCTCCCGGGTTCAAGTGATTTTCCTGCCTCAGCCTCCTGACTAACTGGGATTATAGGCACTCACCACCATACCCGGCTAATTTTTTGTATTTTCAGTAGAGATAAGGTTTCACCACATTGGCCAGGCTGGTCTCGAACTCCTGACCTCAAGTGATCCATCTGCCTCGGCTTCCCAAAGTGCTAGGATTACAGGCCTGAGCCACTGCTCCAGGCCACCACTCCCTTTCTATTCTGCACAGCCCTGGAGGAGGTACTAGGTCTTGTTCTTGTCTATTTCACCAGAAGAACAGGTTTCCTACCGCAAAGGGTATTTGCATTTAAAAGGAGACTGGGATAGAGAGGCTGAAAACCACACCAGGGGGCTGGGTTTCCCCTCCATCTCACAGGAAGCTGGGCCTTTGGGATAAAATAGTAAACACACTTGACTATTTTTATTTCTGGACTGAAGCCCTGCCCTGCCATGTGCCGCATGTCCCCGAATTGCCCCATTCTTTGCTGCTGCTGTCCCCATTCTATCACGCATTGGTTGGGTTTTCCATAAACCCACTTTACTCTTTCCTTTGTTTCTCTGGATTTCTGTCTCCATCTCTGGCAGAGAAATGGCAGGAATGGGATATCCCAGGTCTCAATGTCTTACAATTTTGGTGAATGGACTTTTCTCAAACTGATGTAGGATATGATAAATTCCTCTTCAAAGGTTTTAGCCTGTAAATTGTTAAGTACAATGAGTTCTGAGATCCTCTCCAAAGAACCAATGAATCAGTATGTTCAGCTCCCCTATTCTTTGTTCTTCATTTTAAAGTTTAACTTCCTTGTTCAGTTTGTCTCCTTGCCCCTAGTTTCAGTAAACAACCCCCTCCTAGCCTCTATCACCTGTTCTGTCCTGAGTTACCTCTGGTCACCTGCTCCGTCCTGAGTCACCCCTGGTCACCTGCTTTGACCTGAGTCAACCTGAGTCACCTGTTCTTTAACCATACTTCCTGCCAAACTACTCACTCCGGCACTCCAGCTAATACCCTTGCTATCTTTAAAATAGCCAATCAGAATTAGCTTAGACTCTGCGGTCCAACCCTAGCCAATAGGGGAGCAACACAGCAGTAGGGGTTGCCTGCATCAGGGATAAGAACCCTTTCCCCTCTCTTATTCAGGTGTGCTCTTGCCATTGCTCCAACCATGAGATGCACCTTTCTGTGGAAGTAAAATTGCCTTGCTGAGAAAATTTATGTTTGAATGCTATTTCTTTTGCAGCACCAAAAATTTATTTCTAACACTGACATCAAGAGAAGTGCCTGTAGCAGGCGCTGGGCTTAAAGGAGGCCATCCCAGGTGTCAGTCATCCCATGGCCCTGTAGCCATCTGGCCCAGTGCTCAACCCTCCCTCTACCAGTGACTTGCAAGTGCTTACATCATGGTGCTCCACGACCCTTTGTGCTGTGCCCTAAGGATTGGGCATATCGATAGTAAGGACTCATTAATTGGTCTGTTTACAAAGCGATATTACCATGCACTATTCAGCTTACTCAATTTAGAAGGTGGTTGTGGGGCCTGGCACAGTGGCTTACGCCTGTAACCCCAGCAGTTTTGGAGGCCGAGGTGGGCGGATCATGAGGTCAGGAGTTCAAGACCAGCATGACCAACATGGTGAAATCCCGTCTCTACTAAAAAAATGCAAAAATTAGCCAGGTGTGGTGGTGTGTGCCTGTAATCCCGGCTACTCAGGAGGCTGAGGCAGGAGAATCTCTTGAACCTGGGAGGCGGAGGTTGCAGTGAGCCAAGATTGCACCATTGCACTCCAGCTTGGGTGACAGAGAGAGACTCTGTCTCAAAAAAAAAAAAAAAAAAAAAAAAAGAGAGAGAGAGAGAAAAAGAAGGTGGTTGTGAAAAATGAAAGTGTTTTCTCTGTTCATGTATTCATTCAAAAGTTGCCATGTCCTCTATAGCACTCTTAGGCCCTAGGAATATAGAAATGAATAAATTATGGTTCCTACCTGGATGATCTCATAGTTTAATGGATGAGACAGAAGCACAATTATTGTACATACACTATGTCAACTGTCACCACGAGTACACTCATGAAGTACCACTGGGACGTGTGTAAGAGGAGGGAGACAGGGGAGGCTTCCCAGAAAAGGGGATGTTAAACTGACCTCATTCAGCCCCAGGCCACCTGAGCGGAAAGTGCCCACATGGTCATATTCCAATGGTACTTCTCTGCCTGAATATGGGGCAAATAGTGGAATTTGCCAGTGGACAGTGGAAGAATTAATAAAAACTTTTAGGCTGGGCATGGTGGCTCATGCCTGTAAACCCCAGTGCTTTGGGAGGCCAAGGTGGGAGGATCACTTGAGGCCAGGAGTTCAAGGCCAGCCTGGACAACATGGCCAGATCTCATCTTTACAAAAAATAATACTAAGCTGGGTGTTGTGGTGCATGCCTGTAGTCCCAGCTATTCAGGAGGCTGAGGTGAGAGGATGGCTTGAGCCCAGGAGGCTGAGGTTACAGTGAGCTGTGATCATGCCACCGCACTCTAGTCTGGGTTACAGAGCAAGACCCTGTCTCTAAAACATTTGAAAATTAAAAAAATAAAACTCTTATTATAAAAGATTGTGTTTCATGTTTTGAAGGAGTTTCTGAAATATAAAAAAACCATAAATAATAAGGTAACTAGCATGCATACCCTATTCCTCAATTCTTGAATTTAAACCATTAATAATTCAGATACATTTTTAAATATTTAAAGGAGTTAGAATAATATAATAAGGATGAAGTACCTTTTCTATTTCTCTCCAGTTTCAATCTCTTCTTTTCTTTTCCAGAGGCAACATTATCATAAATTTGGTATGTGTTTGTCTGCTCTATTTAAAATGATTGTATCATGTGCTTCAATGAATATGTCTCTATATGATATTGCAAAGTATCCTCTCATGCATTTTAAATGTTTACAGAAGTCCTATGTTATGCATAGCATAGAATCCTAAAGCTTGTCTTTTAATTCATCATCATGATTTCAAGATCTAGTTATTTTGATATATTAACTTATTAATTTTAAATGCTGTAGAACATTTTCAGTTGACTATTTCGAATTAGTCTATACATTTTCCTACTGATGGACATTTTGGCTTTCTTTCTTTCTTTCTTTCTTTCTTTCTTTCTTTCTTTCTTTCTTTCTTTCTTTCTTTCTTTCTTTTTTTCTTTCTTTCTCTTTTTTTTTGCTTTTACCAACAATTCTGCAATAAGCACTGTTTATAACATATCCTGATGGAAAACTGCAAACAATTTTAGACTCTTGGATATGTGCAACACCAGATTATGCCATTTGGCTCTCCAAAGTGATTGTACCAGTTTTACATTTCACTTTTTAATGCCTCTTGATATTAAACATCTGGTATCGTCAGACTTTCTGAGTTGCCAGAAAGTCTGGCAATGAAATGGTACCTCATCGCCAGCTGTGTACTGGAACTGGTGTGGACTGCGTGGAAGAACTGGTTGTGTGCGTCTCATTCCAACTGTGGGTTCAGTGACTTCACGAGGTTAGTCTGAAATTGACTGTGGTGGGAGCATTTACATCACGGGAATTGGCACACACTACAAACTGGTTTTTCCCTTGGAGAGCCAGTTGTTAAGCATTTACCAGCTCACCGTGGCCAACTCACTGGGCTTCCTCAGTCCACCTTCTTCCCATGAACTCATCTCACATGACTCCCAGGTTACAGATGGATGAAAGTCCTGTTTGTGGCTAAAAGTTGTAACAAGCGGAGTTGTGCCAACTGTTGATGTAGGGCTTGACAAGGCCTCAGCTGCATTGTTCCACACTGAAGGGGGCGTAAGCAAACTTTTAAAAAAACATAAAACCAAAATCCTCCCCCAAAACCTTTAATTTTTTTTTTTTTTTGAATGCAGTGGTGCAATCACAGCTCACTGAAGCTTTGAACTCCCTGGCTCAAGCAATCCTCCCACCTCAGCCTCTCAGCTAGCTGGGACTAAAGGTGTGCAGCACCACACTCAGCTGATTTTTAAACTTCTGTAAAGACAAGGTCTCATGTTGCCCGGGCTGGTCTCGAACTCCTGGCCTCAATCAATCCTGCTTCAGCCTCCCAACTGCTGGGCTTGCCGGCATGAGCTACTGTACCTGCTCTCATATTCTTTTCTTTTTTTTTTTTTTGAGACGGAGTCTTGCTCTCTTGCCCAGGCTGGAGGGCAGTGGCGCGATCTTGGCTCACTGCAAGCTCTGCCTCCTGGGTTCACGCCATTCTCCTGCCTCAGCCTCCCGAGTAGCTGGGACTAGAGGCGCCCACCACCTCGCCCGGCTAATTTTTTGTATTGTTTTAGTAGAGATGGGATTTCACCGTGTTAGCCAGGATGGTCTTGATCTCCTGACCTGGTGATCTGCCCACCTTAGCTCCCAAAGTGCTGGGATTACAGGAGTGATCCACTGCGCCCGGCCCTCATATTCTTTTTTTAAACTCCTCTTCACTAACGGAACTCTTCTGTAGATTTATTTTTTTCATTTAACAAGGTTTTCTGGAATTTATTGTATAATGTATGTTGTAATCTACTTTTATGTTTTTTGTAGGTGGAGAGTACTCCATTTTATGGATACACTACAGATAATACAATCAGTCCCCTATCAATGAACATTTGGGTTATTTACAGCCTTTTGTTTACACAAAAATGTTATAATAGATAGACTAATGCATGGGTCATTTTGTATTTTTGCTAACATATAGTTAGGATAGATTCCTGGGGGTAGAATTTCTGAGTAACGTGTAGCAGATTAAACAATAGGTTTATTGAAGTGTAATTTACATACTTGAAGTGTAATTTACATACCATAACATGCAACTATTTTAAGTATACAGTTCAATGATTTTTAGTAAATTTATGTGGTTCTGCAACATGACCACCATCCAGTTTTAGAGCACTTCCACCACCCTCAAAATTTCGTTGTGCCTGTTTCTAACCCCAAACTCAGACAATTATTGATCGGTTTACTGTCTTTGAAGTTCTGCCCTTTCTGGAAATATCACATAAAGGAAATTGTCTAATATGCAGATTTTCATGTTGATCTTCTTTTACTTAGCGTAATGTTTTTGAGTTTCATTCATAGTGTTTAATGTCTGCTCTGGTTTGGATTTGTGTCCCCACCCAAATCTCATGTTGAATTGTGATCTCCAATGTGGGAGGTGGGGCCTGGTTGGAGGTGACTGGGTCATGGGGGCGGATTTTCCCCTTTGGTGCTCTTCTCGTGATGCAGTTCTCATGATATTTGGTTGTTTAAAGGAGTGCAGCGCTCCCTCCTCTCTCTTCCTCCTGCTCTGGCCATGTAAGACCTGCCTGCTTCTCCTTCGCCTTCTGCCATGATTGTAAGTTTCCTGGGACCTCCCCAGCCATGCATCCCCTACAGCCTGAGGAACTGTGAGCTTGTTAAACCTCTTTTCTTTATAAATTACCCAGTCTCAGGCATTTCTTTATAACAATGCAAGAACAGACTAATACCCGGTCTCACTAGTTCATTCCTTTGTATTGCTGAGTACAGTCTCCTGTGTGTCTACATCACAATCTGTTTATCTGTTCATTAGTTCATGGACATTGGCACCATATCCAGTTGTAGGCTTTTGTGAACAAAGCCGCTGTGATTTATATGATGTTCATCTCTTTGTATGCACACGTTTTTGTTTCTCTTGGGTAGATACCCAGGAGTGGAATTGCTGATTCATATGATAAGGTTTATGTGATAGATGTAAGCTTAACATTTAAAGAAATTACCGAACTGCTTTTCAATTTTGTATTCCCACCCATGACATTTGAGAGTTTTCATTTCTCCATATCCTTGCAAATTGACAATCTTTTTGATTATAGCTCTTCTAATAGATGTTAATGGTAACTCATAGTGGTTTTAATTGGCATACAACTAATGACTAACAATACTTGTGCATATATTAGCTACCTATATAACTTTTTGATGGAATGTCTATTCACATATTTTATTTAGGTTTTCTCTTTTTTTTGAGGCAGGGTCTTGCTTGGTCACCCACAATGGAGTGCAGTGGCATGATCTTGGCTCACTGCAACCTCTGCCTCTCAGGCTGAAGCGATCCTCTCACCTCAGCCTCCTGAGTAGCTGGGACTACAGGCATGTGCCACCATGCCCGGGTAATTTTTGTATTTTTTGGAGAGATGGGATTTTGCCACATTGCCCTGGTCTCAAACTCCTGGGCTCAAAAGATCCGCCCACTTTGGCCTCCCAAATTGCTGGGACTTATATGCATGAGCCACTGTACCCAGCCCTTTACTTTTTTTTTAATTGGGTTGTTTGTCTTCCTATTATTGGATTATAGAAGTTCTTTATATATTCTGGATACAAGTTTGTTTGTTTGTTTTTAATCACACATGTTTTGGAAATATCTTTCTCTCAGTCTTTGTCTTTTTTTTTTTTTTTTTTTTGCTGGGGGAGATAGGATCTCACTCCTGTCACCCAGGTAGGAGTGCAGTGGCACACTCACGGCTTTTTATAGCCTCTTGACCTCCTAGGCTCAAGTGATCCTCCCACCTCTTTTTTTTTTTTTTTTTTTTTAGGTCTTATTATGTTGCCCAGGATGGTCTCAAACTCCTGGGCTCAAGCCATCCTCCCGCCTCAGCCTCCCAAAGTGCTGGGGTTACAGGCCTGAGCCACTGAGCCCAGTCTTTCCATTTTCTTAATGGGGTTTTTGAAAAGCAAATATTTTAAATTCTGATGAAGTCCAAATTATCTCTTTTTTCTATTATACATTGTGCTTTTGGTGTCATATCTAAGAAATTTGCCTAACTAAAGGTCACAAAGATGTTCTCCACTGCTTTTTTCTAGATGCTTTATGAATTCAGCTCTTACATTTAGGTCTATGATCCATTTTGAGTTAATATTTTACAAAGAGCGAGATCAGGGTTGACGTTTCTTAGTATTTACGGCATAAGAATATTCAATGGTTCCAGCACCACTTGTTGAAGAGACTATCCCTTCTCCTTCCAATGGCCTTGGCACCTTTGTAATAAATCAATTGATGATATATGTGTGTGTCTATTTCTAGACTCTCATTTCTTCCTGACATCTTTACTTCTAGCCTTTCAGTGAGTTTTTAAATATCCCAGGGGGTAGAGCCCTTTGAAAAATTATTGATCTCTTTTATTGTTTATTATAATCATCTTTTTTTGGGGGGAATCTGGCCCAAGTCCCCTGAAGGCTTGGGTTAGGTTAAGTGCACCAAAGTGTCCAAGGTTGCCTTTGAAAGTGTTTTCATTATTCAGTACCTCCCCCATGCCAATTTGCCAGGCCTCATGTGTCACTAGGCACATTTCTGTTCTTTTTTTTTTTTTTTTTTGAGATGGAGTCTCACTTGTCGCCTAGGCTGGAGCGCAGTGGTGCTATCTCAGCTCACTTGGAATCTCCACCTCCCGGGTTCAAGCAATTCTGTGTCTCAGCCTCCTGAGTAGCTGGGATGACAGGTGCCCACCACCACGCCCAGCTATTTTTTTTTTTTTGTATTTTTAGTAGAGACGGGGGTTTCACCATCTTGGCCAGGCTGGTCTTGAACTCCTGAACTTGTGATCCATCCACCTCGGCCTCCCAAAGCGCTGGGATTCCAGGTGTGAGCCACTGCGCCCAGCCATCACTAGGCACATTTCTTTAACAATGGGCGCCTCCCCTGCTGGGCACAGTTTACTGAGGAATCTTAAGCCCGGGACCAGGCTGCAAGCCCAACCCATCTCCCACTGGTTTCATCTGTTCCATGAGACTCTTGGGGCCCTCATGGCCCCTAGAGATGCCCCAACATTGCAGCAGCACCAGCTCAGGAACCCACGCCATGCTGACAATCTAGAGAGGTAGAAGATTCACCATGAAGTCATGAGCATGCATGTTTAAGGCCATTACAATCCCATTTTAATTAAATTCAGTCTTCAAGTATTTGGGTTTTTTTTTTTTCTCCCCCTAACCCCTTTTGTTTTTGAGATGGAGCTTCTCTCTTGTGGCCCAGGCTGGAGTGCAGCGGCGCGATCTCAGCTCACTGTAACTTCCGCCTCCCGGGTTCAAGCGATTCGCCTCCCGGGTTCAAGCGATTCTCCTCAGCCTCCCTAGTCGCTGGAATTACAGGCGCTCACCACCACGCTCATCTAATTTTTTGTATTTTTGGTAGAGATGGGGTTTCATCATGTTGACCAGGCTGGTCTTGACCTCAGGTGATCCGTCCACCTCAGCCTCCCAAGTGCTGGGATTACAGGCCTGAGTCACCTAGTATTTGGGTCACCTAGTATTTGAGTCTTTCCTTTCTGTCCTGGGTGGGTGAGAAAAGGACTGGTTCCCACCAATCCTTCATGCACTTTTCCCAAAACACCCCCCATGGCTGACAGTGGAGACGCACATGTGCAGAAGCAGCCATAAGTGCTCTGTGAGAGGAGGCAGATGAAATACAATCGAGGCAAAGCTGTGGCCCAGTGGGAGAGCAGGTGACTCTCAGGGCGGGTTGCGGGTGGTCAGGATGGAAAAAGTCTTCCAAAACCTGATGTTTGAGCGGGGTTTGGCCAAAAAAATAGGATAAAAGAGGAAAGAGGATTCCGGGCAGAGGAAGCAGAATTGGCAAACCTACCCAGGTTTGGACCAGCAGAATGTAATGGAGGAGTTTGGAATGAGGGTGAAATTGTTGAAGCCAAAGCTGGGAGCAGAGGGAGGCTGGGGTTCAAGTGAATGCATCTGTTCTTGAGACTTCACCCCATCTTAATTTAAAAAAAATTAATTTTTAACATAAATAGTTAATTTTTAGAGACGAAGTCTCGCTCTGTAGCCCAGGCTGGAGTACAGTGGCACGATCACAGCTCACTGCAGCCTTGAACTCCTGGGCTCAAGCCATCCTCCTGCCTCAGCCTCTAGAGTAGCCAGGACTACAGGTGTGCACCACCAAGCCTGGCTAATTTTTTATTTTTTGTAGCTATGGAGGTCTCACTATGTTGTCCAGGCTGGTCTTGAACTGCTGGACTCAAGTGATCCTCCTGCCTCAGCTTCCCCAAGAGCTGGGATTACAGGCATTAGCTACTGCATCTGGCCATTTAAATTAAAAAAAAAAATTGTGGAAAATACATGTAGCATAAAATTTAACATCTTAACCTTTTTTTTTTTTTTTGAGATGCAGTCTCACTCTATCTCGCCCAGGCTGGATTGCAGTGGCGTGATATCAGCTCACTGCAACCCCCGTCTCTTAGGTTCAAGCGATTCTCCTGCCTCAGCCTCCTGAGTAGTTGGGATTACAGGAATGCGCCACCTCACCCAACTACTTTTTGCATTTTTAGTAGCGATGGGGTTTCACCATGTTGGTCAGGCTGGTCTCGAACTCCTGACCTCAGGTGATCCACCCATCTTGACCACCCAAAGTGCTGGGATTACAGGCGTGAGCTACCGCATCCGGCCCCATCTTAACCATTTTGAGTGTGGAGTTAAGGAGTATTAATTCACATTGTTGTGCAACCATCCATTCATCTCCAGAACTTTTTCACCTTGTGATCTTGAAACTCTGTTCCCATTAAACACTCACTCTCCCTCCTCCCTTCTCCCTGGCAACCATCATTTTACTTTCTGTCTCTATGAGTTCAATAACTCTAGGTGCCTCCTATAAGTGGAATCATATAGTATTTATCTCTCGGTGAATGGCTTATGTCACTCTGCATAATGTCCTCAGGGTCCATCCATGTTGGAGCAGGTGTCAGAATGTATCTCCTTTTAAAGGCTGAAAAATATTCTATTGTATGACAGACTACATTTTGTTCATTCATCCATCTGTTCATGGGTACCTGGGTCTCGTCTACCTTTTGACTCTTGTGAGTAACGTTGCTATGAACATGGGTGTGCAAATATTTTTTTGAGATCCTTTCAATTTTTTTTATTATTATACTTTAAGTTCTGGGATACATGTGCAGAGCGTGCAGGTTTGTTACACAGGTATACATGTGCCATGGTGGTTTGCTGCACGCATCAACCTGGCATCTACATTAGGTATTTCTCCTAATGCTATCTCTCCCCTAGCCCCCTGCCCCATGACAGGCCCTGGCATGTGATGTTCCCCTCTCTGTGTCCATGTGTTCTCATTGTTCAACTCCCACTTAGAAGAACTTGCAGTGTTTGGTTTTCTGTTCTTGTGTTAGTTTGCCGAGAACGACGGTTTCCAGCTTCATCCATGTTCCTACAAAGGACATGAACTCATCCTTTTTTATGGCTGCATAGTATTCCACGGTGTATATGTGCCACATTTTCTTTATCCCGTCTATCATTGATGGGCATTTGGGTTAGTTCCAAGTCTTTGCTATTGTGAACAGTGCCACAATAAACATACATGTTCATTCAATTCTTTTGAATATATACCCAGACATGGAATTGCTGGGTCATAGGGTAACTCTATGTTTAATTTTCTTTTCTTTTTCTTTGTTTGAGATGGAGTGTTGCTCTGTTGCCCAGGCTGGAGTGCAGTGGCATGATCTCAGCTCACTGCAACCTCTGCCTTCCAGGTTCAAGCGATTCTCCTGCTTTAGCCTCCTGAGTAGCTGAAATTACAGGCATGCACCACCATGCCTGGCTAATTTTTGTATTTTTAGTAGAGACAGGGTTTTGCCATGTTGGCCAGGCTGGTCTCGAACTCCTGAGCTCAGATGATCCACCCACCTCGGCCTCCAAAAGTGCTGGGATTACAGGTGTGAGCCACCGTGCCTGGCTACTCTATGTTTACTTTCCTAAGGACCTGCCATGCTGCTTTCCACAGTGGTCGCACCTTTTACATGCCCACCAACAGGGCACAAGGGTTCCAGTGCTTCCACATCCTCACCAACACTTGTAATTTTCTGTTATTTTCTTTTAGAGTAACCATCCTAATAGGTATGTTCACTCCAATTTTGATAAAAGAACATTTACCTCTGAGTCACCAGATTGTGAAGATTGGCTCCAGTTAATGTTTTTATGCGAACGAACTTCACGGAGGTGGGGCCAGGTTTGACACTTGGGACATTGACAAGTCAGTGAAGGTCATATCCATCATCCTCAACCACCAGACTGTGCCAGCTGTGTCTTGTTTTGTCAGTTGTTGTTCTCACTCCTGCTGCTGCCATTCCTCTCACGACAGAAACACCCTTGTTTCCTGCCTTCTGCAACTGCAAAACAAAATTGTCTATTACAGAGAGAAGGTATAACAGAGCAGACAGGCTGGACGCATTGGCTCATGTCTGTAATCCCAGCACTTTGGGAGGCAGAGATGGGAGAATCACTTGAGGCCAGGAGTTTGAGACCATCCTGGCCAACATAGTGAGATCCCATCTCTAAACAAAATTAAATAATTAGGCTGGGCGCGGTGTGTCACGCCTGTAGTCCCAGCACTTTGGGAGGCCGAGGTGGGTGGATCACCTGAGGTCAGGAGTTTGAGACCAGCCTGGCTAACATGGCGAAACCCTGTCTCCACTAAAAATACAAAAATTAGCCAGGCATGGTGGTGCACGCCTGTAATCCCAGCTACTTGGGAGGCTGAGGCAGGAGAATCACTTGAACCTGCGAGGCAGAATTTTCAGTGAGCTGAGAGTGCACCATTGCACTCCAGTCTGGGTGACAGAGCAAGACTGTGTCTCAACAACAACAACAACAACAACAACAACAACAAAAAAATTAAAGAATTAGCCAGGTGGGGTGGTGCGTGCCTGTAGTCCCAGCTACTCAGGGGGCTGAGGTGGGAGGATCACTTGAGCCTAGAATGTTGAGGCTGCAGTAAGCTATGATTGCATCACTGCATTCCAGTCTGGGCAACAGAGCAAGAGCTTGTCTCTTAAAGAGAAAGAAGGAGGGAGGGAGAGGGAGGGTTGGGGGCAGGGGCGGGGGAGAGAGAGAGAGACAGCAATATCAGACAAAAGCAAAGAAAAATGAACTCTTTCTGAGTCCTTCCACTAAAACCTGAGTCCTCCCATTACCTTTCCTCGCCTTCTTTCTTTCTGTGTGTGAAATCGTCTGGGCCTTTATCTCCCTTTATCAGGTTAGAGAGTGTCAGGCGTTCTTGACAAGCTCACGGGGCTGTTCTAGGGATCAAATGAGATTATAGATGGGCAAGCACTCAAGTTTGAAGTGTTATATCAATGTACAGGATTATTATTAATCTCTCATTGATCTCTTAATACAGAAAAAAAAAAGCCTCCTCCCCTGGGTTTCCATGGCAAAGAGACGTCTGTGACTCTCATCTCCTCAGCCCTACCTCCTTTTCTCTGCTGAATCCAGCTCCAGTGCAGGTCATGCCATCATCGTCCTTGTGATTTATGACTGAGGAGACCTCGCTGTCAATCAGAGGTTGTAAGCCCACTCGGAATCGGGTGCATATATTTGTTTTGTTTGGCTCATTGAATGTTTTAAAAATATTTTTATTTTGTTGCCAGCATAGAGAAATCAGGAGAGTTACCAAAAAATAAACAAAATACAAAATTCAGGTTTCTGACATTTTTGGAAAAATTTGAAAATCTGAAGAGCTGGCCATGAGGGGCCTTTCCCCGCCAGCTGTGCTTGCTCAAGGGGTTTGCACTGTGAGCCTGATGGGAATGAGAACCCCATGTGAGTAGGGCAGTAATCAAACCCACCAGTGATCTCTTGAGGGTGTTTTTGAGCAACACTGAACAGCTTTAGGGAGTGTCTGATTTTGGTGTGAGCATGCACACGTGTGGGTGTGAAATTGAGTGTTCTTCCTGGTACCTGTAAAACCATCACCCCACGGATGTGGTCACTATCGCCACCTTCTGGTGAATTAAATGCTTCCAAGCTGTTGGGAATGGTGGGGGGCGGAGAGTGCATGGGTAGGCAACAACTTAGAGAAAGACTCCGGGATGTTGGGGTGCAGTGGCTCACGCCTGTATTCCCAGCACTTTGGGAGGCTGAGGCGGGAGGTTTGCTTGAGGCCAGAAGTCTGAGGCTACAGTGAGCCATGATCACACCACTGCACTCCAGCATGGGCAACAGAGTGACGTCCTGTCTTTTTTTTAAGAAAAAAAAAAAGTCCAGCATGGTGGCATATTCCTGTAGTCCCAGCTACTGGAGAGGCTGAGGCAAGATGATTACTTGAGCCCAGGAATTCCTGAAGAATTACTTGAGCCCAGGAGTGCTGCAGTGAGCAACGATCACACCACTGCAGTCCAGCCTGCGTGAGAGAGAGAGACCCTGTCTCTGAACAAACACCCAAAAAATGACTTAGGCCAGGTGCGGTGGCTCACGCCTGTAATCCCAGCACTTTGGGAGGCTGAGGCGGGTAGATTGCCTGAGGTCAGGAGTTTGAGACCAGCCTGGCCAACGTGGTGAAACCCTATCTCTACTAAAAATACAAAAAAATTAGCTGGGCGTGGTGGCACGTGCCTGCAATCCCAGCTATTCGGGTGGCTTAGGCAGATGAATCACTAGAATCCAAGAGGCAGAGGAGGCTGCTGTGAGCTGAGATTGTGCCACTGCACTCCAGCCTGGGTAACAAGAGTGAAAACTCTCTCTTGCTCTCAAAACAAAACAAAAACTCAGATTAGAAAAGCTGCAATTCTAGACATAAGTCTGTAAAAATGTGTTTTTAAGAGAAAAAAGCCCAGATGAACGTGAAGTGTAATCAAATGAGAGGATCCAGGAGGATGAGGCTTCTAGAAACCGGCACGTGAGATTAAAACATCCTAAATTTCACGGGGCTGGCTTCACTGTGTTGAAGATACAGATTTCCAGACACAATCAAACTCGGCTTTTTTTCCTCCTACTTCTGTGTCCGGAATTGGTGGGTTCTTGGTCTCGCTGACTTCAAGAATGAAGCCGCTGACCCTCCAGGTGAGTGCTGCAGTTCTTAAAGATGGTGTGTCTGGAGTTTCTTCCTTCTGGTAGGTTTGTGGTCTTGCTGACTTCAGGAGTGAAGCTGCAGACCTTGTTGGTGAGTGTTACAGCTCTCAAAGGCGGTGCCTCTGGAGTTGTTCATTCCTCCCCGTGGGTTCATGATCTCACTGGCTTCATGAGTGAAGCTGCAGACCTTCCCAGTGAGCGTTACAGCTCATAGAGGTGGCCTGGACCTAAAAACTGAGCAGCCCCAACATTTATTGCCAAAAGCAAAAGAACAAAGCTTCCATTAAGCTTCCAGGGCATGAAATGAAACTCCACCAGGTTGCCTGCTGGCTGGCGCTGGTGGCCTGCTTTTATTCCCTTATCTGGCCCTACCCACATCCTGCTGATTGGTCCATTTTACAAAGAGCTGATTGATCCGTTTTGACAGAGTGCTGATTGGTGTATTTACAATCCTTTAGCTAGACACAGAGTGCTGATTGGTGCGTTTACAATCCTTTAGCTACACACAGAGTGCTAGACAGAAAAGTTCTCCAAGTCCCCACTAGATTAGCTAGACACAGAGCACTGATTGGTGCGTTTACAAACCTTGAGGAGCTGCCCGCCAGTCCCATGCGCCACGCTCCTGCACACCTCAGCCCTTGGGCGGTAGGTCAATGGAACCGGGCCCCGCCAAGCAGGGGGCGGAAGCAGGGGGCAGCGCCGTCCAGGAAGCTCCCACTGCGCTTCCTGGGGTGGTTGGGGCGGGGCCCCTGGGGCATGGCGGGTTGCACTTCCACTGGTAACTTGCATCCATTCCCCGAATGGAGACTGGATTGTCCGTGGTTTTTTGGTTCACTCTTATGCAAGGGACAGTCCCAGGTCAGTTTCAGAAGCAAAGCAGTCTCAAGCCAGGTGAGCAACACTGAACAGCTTTTCTAATTTGAGATGTTAATTAAAGCTCCGCTGGATTCAGCGTTAAATCCCTCTACTACTTTGGGGTTGCTTTGGGCTGGAAGCCTGTGGAGGGCAAGGGGAGACCTGGCTGGTGTCTTCTATTCTCGGTTATGCTTCCTCCCTGCCCTCTACAGCTTAGAGAGAGGAGGGAAAGGGCAGCACAGCATTGTGGATGTTGTCAGCCGACTCCGTCCTTTCTGAACCTGGAGATCAGATGTGCAGATGTCCCTCTCTCTTCTCTCTCGGCGCTTTTTTTCTCTCCCCACCTCCTCTCTCTCCCTCCTCTCTCCTTCTCTTTTTCTCTCTCCCCTCCCCTTTCTCTCTCTTCTCTCCCTTCCCCTCTCTCCTGTCTATGCCTAATCTTTCTTCCTCTTTCTCTCTCTTCCTCCTCCTCTCTGCCCCTCCTCTCTCCCCCTTCTCTCCCTCCTCCTCTCTCCCTCCTCTTTCTCTCTCCCTCCTTTCTCTTTCTCCTCTCTCCTCTCTTCCTCCCCTCCCCCTTTTCTCCCTATCTCTCTTTCTCTCCCTCCTCTTTCTTCCTCCCCTGTCTCCTCTCTCTTCCTTCTCTCTCCCTCTTCTTTCTCCCTCATCTCTCCCCTTCTCTCTCCCTCCTTTTTCTTCCTTCCCTCTCTCTCCTCTCTCTTCCTTCTCTCTCCCTCTTCTCTCTCCTCCTCCTCTCCCTCTCTCTCCCTCCTCTCCCCGTCTCCACTGTCTTCCGTCTCTCTTTCTCTCCTCTTTCCCCCTTCTCTCTCTTCCTCCCCTTTCTCTCTCCCCCTCCTCTTTCTCTTTCCCCTCTGTTTCCTATTGTTCCCCACTGTTTCTCTTTCTCTCCCTGCTGTCTTTCTCTCTCCTCTCTCTCCTTTCTCTCTCTCCCCTCCTGTCTCCCCCTTTTCTCTCTCTCCCTTCCCCTTCTCTCTCCCTGTCTTCTCTCCCTCTCCTCTCTCTCCTTCTCCTCCTCTCTCTGAAACCAACCCAGTAGTCCCAGAGACAGTTGCTTGTTTTTTGGATAAACATAGAAATTGAACCATCTGGTCAATTTCTTAAAGCTTGAAACTTGCCTTTGTTTTATCTGAGTTCCTGTTTTCTTACACATAGTTACATTTCTTCCATGCTAAAGAAAGGTCTTTAGTGGGTCAGGAAGATGGATTTGAGGCTGAGCTCCCATCTCCGCTGCTGCACCCAAGTACAGCCTTCTTCACTGGCAACACTCATTGTCTCAGTGATTGGCTTTCTGTGCAGTGAGCACCAGGACCTAGACCAAACTCCTGATGTTTTGGTAACATCTCTCCCCTCTCTCCTGTCTTTCCCTCTTCTCTCTCTTTGTCTCTCTCCTTCCCTCTCCTCTTTGTTTCTCCCTCTCTCTCCACTTTCTGCGACTCTCCAGAGACTCCCTACTGGGGGTCCTTCCCCAGCAGTTCCCTTGGCGGAGGCAAAT